GTGGTCACCTAGGGAGCCAAGTTGACTATTGTTTTGATGGTGTCAAGCCCATGTTCCCTGCGCCGAATGTCACAAAAATATCGTTTTGAGTAGCTTTCAACGTATTAATCATATAAACATCATTGTAAAATAGCTTGGGGGAGTTGTTTCCCTTGGAGATTGACAAGATATCTACACCATCAAAGATGACAGCATTAATTGCAACAAGAGTATCAGTCAAAGTACAGATCTGTCACCAGCAAGCTTTGTAGACCGCAATATGGGCCTTGGGGGTTATTCCTTGTGCATGCCCGTATGCAAAACCCAGCACGCCGACACTGGAAATCTCAACTCCAGCAGCAACTGAAGCAACAGCTGATCCATGGCCTGTAGCATCTCGTGGGAACCTATACTTCCCATCACCATCGACTCGCCGACCTATTAGAGCTTCAATTCCAGAGGCAAAGAAGCGGGCACCAATGAGTTTGTTGTTGCGGTCATCGGCAAAGAAATCGCTGCCTTCTTGGCATATTCCTCACCATTTGTTGTTGTTAAGGGGCAACTGTCCTTTGTCACAGAAGCCTGCATTCTTCGGCCAAATTCCCGTGTCGATAAACCCAATTAGGATACAATCACCATATCCAGCATTGGGCCATAGTTCGTAGGATATCGCGTGGCCAACAAAACTAGGCATTCGCGTTATGTGTAGTTGAGTATCGAGTTTGTGTTCCTCAACTGCCATAACCAGCCTCACGTGAGATGAAAGCTGCAAATCCATGTACAATGTGGGAGTACTCATACAAAATGTTTAGCCGCTGACATACTACATCTAGCATGGACACATGCCACGCACTTCTATTGGTTGCACTTGGCATGAATCCGCCATCTATAAGGACAATGTATGGCCTGGTTGTCACACAAGACAAACCATGTAATAATTGAAAGAATAAAAACATCATAATTAAAGCCATGCTATTGTTGCAGATATTAAAGATCACACAAATGCTATAGAGATTGAAAGAAGGAAGAGAAATTCTTCACTCTCAATATTTAATTTCACTTACTTAAAACACTTAGGTAGCTGAGGTATTTATAAGCCTTAATACAAAATCTTCAGAAATCTTACACACATATATATATTAGACTAGTTGCGAGGTGTCGTGCTTCGCACGATAGCCCATGCCCATGGTTCAAGCAATCTTTAATTGCTTGATTTGAACCTATTAGTTATCGATGTATGCTGAAGGAAAATTTGCTAAGTATTGATAATTTGTGGTTTTTTTCTTTTTTCTTTTTATGTAGGCTACATAGATGCAAAAACAAAACAAAGATCATTATCGTATTCCTCCATAACAAGCATGAACAACTCTTGTAGGAACCACACAAACCCCAAAGATGAAATTAGAAAAAGTACATCACATATAATTACCAAAAATTCAAGTAGCGCTCTTGAAGTAGAAATATTAATTCTAATGTATAAGCTTCAAATTTCTAACCACGCAAGTGTTATGGATAAAACCATTAACATGACATACCTTCTACGTTAATAACTAATATGAAGGTAGAATAAAATGATGGACCGAATTGATAAAAGAAACTAACTTAAAACCGAAAACACAAAAAACGAACATTAAAAAAACTTTTTTTAAAAATTGATACATAGCAATCTCTATACTTTCTAAAATGAATCGATCGGATTATCTCAACAAGGTAATCTTGAAGTTTTGAGGCATCGGCGAAAGCTTTTAAGATGAATTATTCAATGTTGACCTTTAAAAAAATAAAAAAACAATGCTTGACATAAAAATAGATTCTAAGCAACAATTGTTTAATAATTGTATGCTTTATATTTTCAATACAAATCAAATAAATCCTGGTTGGTTATACGAAGTATGATATCTAGTTGACAAATCAAAACAGTTTCATGAGGTAAGTTCATAATTAAATGATATGCCAAATATATGTTTGTGATTTGCATTCACCATTTTTTTTCTCTAATACATGACATATGAACAACTTTATAATTGACCATAGGTATAGATGCATACGTAGGCACATATGCATAGATATATATATATATATATACATTTAAAAAAACATGTCCACATTTGAATTTAGTGGTAGTCGATTGTTCTGGTACAAGAAAAAACAACGAATACTACAGCTAGGTACTGCATCAAATGACATAGATTTGTAAACATACAATGCATTTAGAAAGCCAAAACAAAATTCAAAAGCCATATATATAGAAACAATTTAAAAATGAAATTTTAACTCATTGAGTTACATTAAAACTATAGAAACAAACACGGAAAAATTTCCGTTGAGTCCTATTTTGCGTTTAATATTACTATTCCTATCAAGTTTTATTATGAACAACTCTCACAAAATTCAAGTTTATAAATTTGATTATAATTTGACCCTTCTCATTTAATATGAATAATAATTTCATAAACAATTTTAATTATGAAAATTATATTAAACAAAATATAGCTAACAATTGGATCAAAATATCATTTTATGTTATTCAAAACTATGATTTTTTATTTTATTTTATGGTAAACAATCCAAAAGGGCAAAAATTTATTAAAATTGCATCAATAGTCACAGAAAATAATATAGTGGTGAATTCATATATTTTTCAATGGTATTATTGAAACTTTATAGGACTTAATAGTATTATTAAAAGCAAAATAGGACTTATTGATTATTTTTTCAGGAAAGAATAAAACATAACCAAGGAATAAACTTTTGTAAATGAAAATTTTAGTTCCAAATGAAAATTTTGACTAAACCTTGCCATCAATTTTGCAACCTCGCATTGAATTTACACACTTTTTGTCAAAATAAAAATTCAATAACAGTCCCAACCAAATTTTTAAATATGAGGGCATAGGGCATAATCTTCTAAGTTAAATTGACAATGATAAATATCAGTGAAATAGCAAGATGACATTCTTATATGAGCAAGACTTGGTGATTAGTCGCGATGACAGTGTTGAGGTGCCTGAGACGAAATTGTATTCAACATGTCGGATATCATTCTCGATCATAGTAGGGGGAACGACATTTGTCCACGAAGCCATGATAGTTTCCCTGGGGGACTAAAAGGTCTGGCTTTAGAATTTTGGAGACAATTGTGTTGGGCACTCCCTCAAAGAAAATCCTAAAATCATTGGGGCCCTACGCTCTCCAACTACTGTTTTGCGTTCAAAAATGAGGCTTCTTGTTGCATTCTCCAAGCTACTTGCATTCTCCAAGCTACTGATATATAACAAAAAATCAACAGAATGCACATAAATTATTGAAACCGTAGGTAAGTTCCAGATAAGAGGAATACTTAGGTCCTCGTTCCCCTTCACATTCAATTGGATATATCCGACGCCTTGGGCCTCTAACATCCATCCTTTTGCTTGATACATCTCCATACTAGCATTGCCTGAATGTATTTTAAAAAATAAATAAAAAAAATAAATTTAAAAAAAGGTATAAAGAAAAATGTTTGAGCTCCTTAAAGAAAATTAATTAATTCTAAAACGTGCAAAAAAAATAAAAAAATCATAGAATAATTTATATTTTCTCACACATAAGTTATGTCACAAAGTTCAGAATCAATGAAGATAAAGTCATATTGCATAGATATTCAATCCCTAAACCAACACAGATAAGAGGAATACTTAGGTCCTCGTTCCCCTTCACATTCAATTGGATATATCCGACGCCTTGGGCCTCTAACATCCATCCTTTTGCTTGATACATCTCCATACTAGCATTGCCTGAATGTATTTAAAAAAAAAAATAAATAAATAAAATAAATAAATTTAAAAAAAGGTATGAAGAAAAATGTTTGAGCTCCTTAAAGAAAATTAATTAATTCTAAAACGTGCAAAAAAATAAAAAAATCATAGAATAATTTATATTTTCTCACACATAAGTTATGTCACAAAGTTCAGAATCAATGAAGATAAAGTCATATTGCATAGATATTCAATCCCTAAACCAACAGGTTCGTTTCTATACTTAAATCAGCTTCAACTCCAGATCTCTTCTTGCCTCCTAGATGTCAAATTTTCTTCTTTAATAAAAATTAAATAAATATATGTATATTCTTATGAGGGTTGTGGGATATGGAGATTGTTGACTTCATTGTTGGACTTCACTGTCACTGCAAAACTGAGGACATATGTACCCTATAAAGTGATTATCTAATTTGTTTATATGTTTGGTTGCAATTGAGAAAACACTCTATAAATGTGTTGAGATTGGAGTACCTGACTGAATTATTGCTTATCCAATAGGTTTTAAGGCTTCTTCCCTAAAGGAAATAGATATAAATAAGGAGGTGTTAGACATATGCTTGCTTGTTAATCTAGTGGTGTGGTGGAGATTTGGCTATGAAGACGATTCATTGTGGAAAAGGGTGTTGTGCAGCAAGTATGAGTTTGAGGGTGGTAGATGGTCCCCTCTGCTTGGTGTAAATTCAAGGATATGGAATGATATCATTTCTGTTGCTGATCAAAGAACTAATCTATGTTCTTTCTTTTTCGCTAATTATCAGATTGTGGGTGGTGATGGCAGTAGAGTAATGGTCTAGGTTGATAAATGGTTTGGGAACTTATATCTCAAAGATGAATTCCCTACATTTTTTGGGCTTTGATGTTTTATGATAAAAAAAAAAAAAAAATGGGGACTCGGATGAATGGAATTTGACTTGAGAAGAGCTTTATTTGCGTGGGAGGGTGAGGAGGTTGTAAGACTTATTAATCTTCATGCCCAAAGTGGAAAGCATCTTCTTCAGGACAGTTTAATATTTCCTCTGTTTACATGTGCTGTGAGTCTGTTTGTGGCCCTTACCTTAGTACTTTTGAGATGGTGTGGAACAATGCTTCTCCTCCTAAAGTTCAATTTTTTGGTTGGTCGGCATCTATGTCCCCAGGCCCTACGGACATGAGTTGGACACATAGTAGACACGTGTCCGACACTCTCTCTAACACGTGTCCTCTTTTTTTGAAATTTTCCAGTCAAACACGCCATGGACATGCCAAGACACTTTCCGGACAAGTGTGAGGTGGATCGAAGAAGGCCTAACTGTTGGAGAGGAGATAGAGAAAGAGAGAAAGAGATCGAGGGAGAGGAAGAAGCCTAACCTGTTCAAATCAATCGAAGAAGCTGAGGTTTCTCTTTTTCTTGATTCACCCGTTTCTCTCCCCCTTTTTTTTCATGTTTCTCCTCCTTTATTTTCCTGATTTCTCCCCTCTTTTTTTTCTTTTTTTTTTTTATCCTTATTTTTTGTTAAACCTAAAATTCATAGAATAAATTATTTTTATTTAAAAAAATTCATTTTTTATTAATTTTTTTTTAAAATGTGTTTATTAAATTTATTATCATTGTAATTGTATAAGAATTAATGATTTTCTTTTTATTTTAGACATATAATAAATAAATAAAATTATATATATCAAACATATCCCCAGCGAGTCGTGTCTCCCATTTTTTGAAAAATTGTGTGTCTGCGTGGTGTCATGTCGCGTGTCCGTGTCCATGCATCATATGACATGGAAACAAAAAGTCAAAACTGCTGTGTTTTTGCAAATAATTGGTGTACTAAATGGAAATGCTTCTACTCTTTGTATTGTCTGTTAATCTGATTTTGAAATGGCAAACCATGTGTTGTTTTGTCCATTGATCTGGAAGGTATGGTCTGCTGTGATGTTTTGGTGGGGAACTCAGTGCAAGATGCGAGGCTCAGTTTTGATGGCTTGCTCCAATAGTGGGCTGGATTTCGATTTAAGAAAATGGAAATGAAGATTTGGAGAGCCATTCCTTTTAACAGTTCTATGATCTATTTGGAAACATAGGAATGATTTCGTCTTCAAGGGTGTTCAATCTGACTTGGTCAAGCTGTGCGAACTCATTAAGATCAATGACTTTCTGTATAATCTTAGGCAGATTAGAGTCTGTGTAGGTGGAGGTTGGTGAACTGGAGCTGCCCTTTTGATGTGTTTTTGGTTGTCTTTCTTTTGCTGTGTGAGTTGGAATCTCTCTAACTCTTGCTTTGGTTTGGCTTTAGAGATGCGCATGATTAGTTTGCTTAGGGTGCTAACATAGTTAGGATGTAATCTCTTGACAATGATGCAATCTCTCCCCAAGTTTTTGGTGTACTTTTTCATATTCTTATAAAATTTGATTTTATCTTGCTGATCTTAAAAAAAGGGCAGTGGCTGCCAAAGACCATCAGGAGCCTAAAGGCAAAATTTTAAAATGAGACTTTTTGACATTTAAATATAAAAAATTTACATTTCAATTTTTACATAATTTTTTTTTTAAATTACTTTTAATGTGGCTTTCCAAGAAACTCAAGATAAAAAGAAAACAGAAGGATAAGAATCAAGTGAACTTAAGATGAAGTTTGTGAATTTTTCTGACACTTGAAGCCCCCTAGTTGAAATGAAGGGAGAGTTAACAGACAAATTTGTTATCAACAATTCAACGGGTCAATGGAAATCAAATGTTGTTGATGAGCTCTTCTGGCCTTATGAAGCAGAAAAGATTAAAAAGCATTCCTCTATGACAGATTGAATTCGAGTACTACTTTCCAGCAAAACCAGCCATTTTCCTGCTGCTACAAAACACTAAAACCACAGGCATTCCACACCTCAGCTGCAAATTCACGATCTCTTAATTAGACAATGGATGTCCGTTTCTATGAGGAGTCCACACAAGGGGCACGCAACCTCTGCTACAATTTTCCTTTTGCATAGAAGAATCTTGACAGGGAGTATGTTTGAACAGGACTTTCACACAAAGATTAATTTTATTTGGTACTTCACAGGTACTCTGAATTCAAAAATGCTGCAATTGAGCTGGTTCCGATGCTAATCTTCTTGAGCTTTCCAATCCCAAAACAACATGATATGAAGATCCGACTGTAAAGGCCTCATTTTTGGTATAATTCGAAAGGGCAACCAAAGTTGTGTAAATGGAGGCAATTTCGATGGTGCCATTTTAGCAATTGTGCTAGCAGGTGTGAGGGTTATTGTGAGAGACTATCAAGTGGGCTAGCAGCATTAACAATGTCACAATTGCTTCTGTAGGCAACCTTTGTCTCGGTGTTTCATGATTGCAGCTTTATTCCATTGAACTTCAGCCCAAACCACCTTCTACTTCAGGACAGCAAATCTGTTTCCAACTAACTTTAGCTGTATTCTGACTTAATTCAATACCTGACCATAGAAAATTCTGCATAGGACTTTCAATATCTTTCAAAATTTTCTCAGGCAAATGAACACTGTGGCCTAGTACACCTGGATTCCAAACAACACAGACTGTATTATAATTGCAGCCTCCCTCCATATGACAAAAACTTATTAGACCAACTCTGAATGCGGCTAATCATCCTCTCCTTAAGCTGTTCATAGTCACTTGTTTTAAGTCTGGTTAAGATCAAAGGCACACCAAGGTACCAATGGCTGAGGTATTGCGGTGTGAATTCCATAGAGACTAATGATGGGAGGGTTTGAGGACACTTATTGGGGCTGGCTGCTATATTTTATTTATGTTATCTTGCTCATTTGCCTTCCTTTTCTCTTTTGTTGCTAGTTGGAATCTCTCCAACTTTGCATTGTTTTGGGATTGTGCTAGCATTTGATTGGGCGAGCCTTTTTCATACCAAACTAGTTGTGATGGAGGGGTTTCGCATTGATGCTTTGTTCATTAATAAATTGTCTCTTTGCTTTTCTGATTAATAAATAAATAAATAAACAAAATTGGTGGTGATTTTATGGAAGCAATTAATGCGTGGAAAGTTGTGATTTTGGCTAACGAGCTGGGGCTTTGGGACATTCATTTGGAAGGTGCCTCCTTGGCGATAAAAATCCTTTAAGTTGAAGAAGACATCCTTTCAGTCATTGTTTATGTGGATGCAACACTTGTGGCACTTCAGAGTTTTCGGTTTTTCTTCTAACTTGAAAGGGATCATGTCCTGAGTTCCCAACAGAAGGGGGAAAAAAAGAAAAAGAGAGAGATTTCGGTGTTTTGGGGAATATGGTAGCTCACAGACATTCACCCAAAAAATGGTAGCTCACAGACTTGCTAGAATGGCATCCCAATTTCAAGAACAAAAGGTTTGGATGGAGAGGTACCTATTACTAACCTCCCTTGCTTAAACTGTTTCTGCTGAGGCAACTTCTATGTAATTCTTGTCTTCAGGCTTCTTGTCTTTAATCAAAAAATAAGAATAAATAAAATAACCCTAAAATGAGTACATCAAAAATTTGAGATGTGCTATGCAATTTGTGATCAAAGTTACGAGTGACAAATTTATGATGTACACTCAAAAATGGAAGTTATATTTTTTGTAATAAGAAAAATTATGTTATAAAATTTTGTAGTGTTGTTATGAGAAAAAAAAAAACCACACAAACCATTTTAGAGTACACCTATCAGCATTTCCCAATAACGTACCATAAATTTTGGACCTTGTCATATTTGATTTCTTGAAAGTATTATTTAAAAAATACAAATATCTATGTATAAATATTACTTATCATTAAAGTATATAGGCTCTATTTGTTTTGGTATTGAGAATTTGTTTTTCACATTAAAAAAAAAATTAACTAAAACTAATTAGTGAAAAAATTATAAATCAAAAAATTTCATTATTTTTATATGGTTTGACTTTTTTTGTAGGGATGACAATTTAAATTCGGCCAGACGAGGACCCGACCTCTCGACCCCTATTGACACGGTTTTTTTCCCAAAAAATACCCCAACGAGCCGGAGATGGTATTCAAAAAAAAACTTCTTGGTCATTTTCAGGCCCGAGACGGTGATAAGTACTTCTGCCCCTGCCTCGTTCGCCGTCCCGTTTCTGCCCTGCCTCCCTCTCCTCTATCACTCACCTAACTACCCACTAATATATATATACTCATCTCTCTCTCTCATCTCAGATTTAACAATCCCAAAACAAACACACCACCTCTCCTCTCTCTCATTTCAGATCTCTCTCTCCCTCATCTCAGATCTAATCCCTCTTCCTCCGCCTCTCTCTATCTCTCGTCTCTCCGCCTCGTCTCTCTACCGCCATGATTGATTCTCTCTCAAGCTCATTGCACCAGAGCTTTGACAGCTCTGCCGCTCGTCGCTCCGCCGCAACCAGAGTCTCCATCTTCTCTCTCAAGCTCGCCATCGGTCATCGATCGAGACCTCTCTTCTCTCTTGATAATGATGGTGAATCAGATCTCAAATCTGCAGATGTGTGTGTGTGTGTGTGATGATGATGACGAAAACGACGATGATCTCAGATCTGCAGATGTGTTTGTGTGTGTGTGTGTGATGATGATGACGAAGACGACTCAGCTCTGTAACTACATCATCGTCGGGGATTTTTCGGGGTCGGGGAAACTCGATCCCCGTTAGGGGACGGGGACGGAGGGATGATGGGAATTTCATACTTTCGGGGATCAAGGATAGGGATTGCGATCACCGCCCCATCCCGGCCTGTTGCCATTCCAAAAAAGTAGGCACAAATATTTTTTTAAATATATAGATATATATAAATTTTTGTCACACTAATTTTTATTTTTTTAAAAATAAATTCAAAGAATTGATTCTGAAAATGAAACCAAACAAAATCAATATTGTTCGGAGACTTTCTTAAACAGAATCAGACTTACCTATAATTTGGCCAACTATCAATATAATAATAACTAGCGGCCGCGCACACGCGATGCGCGTGCAATTTAAATAAATAAGAATAAAAGAAAATAAAAATGAAATTAATATTATAATGTGTACTTAAATAAATAGGAATAAAAGAAAATAATAATGAAATTAATATTATAATGTGTACATAGCTTAAGTGGTATGAATCCTCATACTTAAACCCATGGTCATGGGTGCCCATATCTTTGTTTAACTTTTTTTAAAAAAATAAAAAAACACGGCCACATGGCATGAGGAGAGTAAAGCTTCAGGACACCATAAGAGGTGTTCACTTTATAATAGTATAGATAGATAGATAACTAGTGTTTTCTACCCACGCAAATGCGTAAGTTATATAAATATTTGTGTATTATATATATATAAATAAAATATAAATTTATTTTTATAATTTGTTAATAAATAAAAAATTAAAATCCAAGTAGCAGTTACTAACAATTATATTTTGCGAATTAAATTTCATGTAGATTTTTAAAAAATGGTGATTGGTATCGTAGGGCATCTCTAACTTCATCAATTTTTTCATCTAATTTAATTATAAATTTAAGTAAAAAATTTGATTTGATATGAATTATTCTAATTCTTTCATTAAATTTTTATCAAAACCTTCTTAAAAATTCTCCTCTTATCTCAAATTTTACTTTACATCAAATTTGATAAAAAAGAATAATGATCTTCAATACTTCATCTTTTAAGTTCTCAATTTGAGTTCACAATGATTATGACTCCACCCAATGGAATGGGTTGCCTACATATCCACATTAAAGAACAAATTTGAAACAGAATCAAGTCGGTCGGAGTTCATAAATGAATTTAAACTTTGATTTTTTAGAGTTTGGAATTTTAGTGAACGTTTGAGTTCATAGAGTTTTGTGACTGCACCCAATGGAATAGGTTGTTTATCCAAGGAACAAGTTTCATTCAAAATCAAGTCAACATAGTTCATCGGAACTTGGAATTTATTTTGGATTTTGGAAATTTGATTTTGTGACTGCACCTAATAGAATGGATTCCGAATCAGGAAACAAGTTTGAATCGAAATCAAATCTGCCGTAATTCTAAAAGAGCCTGGGTTTAAATTTGAAGCAATGAATGATTCAAAATTTAATTTAATTTTGACAAAGCATAAATTGTCAGGCTTGGGGTGCTGTGCCCCTTTGTGGGAGGTCATCCCGAGTGTTTTTCGATGATTTGAACCGTTCATGTTGTAAGATTTGTCAAAAATATTATCCATATAAAAAATCAAGTTAATCGGATATTCGTAACCTCATGATTAGGTCGTAATTGTTTTTAAAAACTTATGAAATTATGTTAACCGTTAATTTTTATAAAACAAATGTACTTTTGTTATAAGGCTACAGATGTCCAATCAACTTGATTTTTATATGAATGATCTACTCGACGAATCCTACAATATATACGGTTTGAATTATCAAAAGAGGCTCGAAACAACGCTCTACAAGAGAACACAACAG